CACTATGCAGCGGCTGACAGCACATGCAGATCTTCAGGATAAGCCAAGATGTCAGGCACTTCCAAAGCCTAATAAGTTTCCACTTTTGCAATGCCAGTGTGCATAAGGAAAAGAACGTCTTTTGAACCTGCTTCGACTTAGCGAGTACAGCTGCAAGAGTTTCGCCGCAGTTGCGGATTTGTGTGCTGTTGGCTTTCTGCCAACCATCGTCAACTCCAACTTCGCCAAGCTCAATTGACATGTTTGCAACGCTTTGTTTCAAGCAGCGTTTGACGATTGAGGTCGAACAGCCTCAACCAAACTGCTTGCCCTCAGCACAAGGCCGGCTTGCGTGCTTCGTTGCCGGCGACGGGCAGAAGCGCAGACCATGATTGCCACGATCCGCATGCTAAGGCGGGGCAAGTGGCGCATGTTTCGGCACGCCGGAGTTTCCGACTGGATTACGCTAGAAGCTTCTGGGCATTAGGAAGTCCGCCGCTCCTTCAACATGCCCATCTGCTGTGCGCACATATTCTTGCAGCATCACCGCTGCCGAGTTCATGTAGCTATGTAATGAACACACGGTGCACGAGACCAAACGACCAGCACAACGACACAGCATCGTGACAGGAATCCTCAATAACCTTCAGTCCGTTGGCATGTGCGTCCCTGTAGTAATTCCATGCAGTCGTTACCGGGGCAAGAAGCGCTCGGGCAAGCACACGCAGGCACACACACACACACAGACAGAGACAGAGACAGAGACATAGACAGAGACACAGCCAAAAACAAAAACACACACACACAACAAAAAACAAGTGCATGCACCTGCCGCACACACACGCACACATAAGATCGCTTGTGGCACACACACACACCTATGCCTCATCACACCTTGCGGCAATTTAGTTGTCTGTAGTCATTTTGCTGTGCTTTGTCGTGCTGCCCCGTCTTGCACGTTCACTCCAAGAGCTCCCGCAAGTTGGCTTTTCTGAATCTTGTGCAGAAGGCGTCACTGTACAGCGGTCTTCGCAACCCTCGCCATAAGTTCACTAAAGGCCAAGCAAGGCCAAGCAAGGCAAGTCCCTTTCGGTTCCTGCAACCTCAGCTTGATCCTTTGCTAACTCTTCCAGCATCTTTGCATGCTTCATTCAAGCATCATGGGGTCTGAGGGGGGTGCGAGGGGAGGGATGCCATGGCTACGAAAGTGGTTCTGCAGGCAAAGGTGGTCTTGAAAAATACTACAACCAACACTAAGCCCCAAATGACCATCTTTTTGAATGTACATCGGGTTTGCTTTGTCTCCATTTCTCTATTTAACTCGATTTCACGTTGGACAACCGTCAGGTCACCGCAAGCTTACATACTGCCTCGTTTCTGGCATCCCTACCCCCCACCGTCGATCCCGTGAAAGCAAGCTTGGAAACTTGATGTTGCAGTGCTGAGCCTCACGGACGCAAGAGATTGTCCTTAGTTGACGGTGCCAGTACACAATATGGTCAACCCGGTCTCAGTTTTCATTCTGACTCTGTTGCATCGCTGGTTCTTGGGGCCCTGCAGGAGGAAGCACGTTTGCAGTCATTTCGCGAGCAGACTCCTTCAGAGCAGAACGGTTGGGACACTTTTGCAGGGCAAAGCCAGCTGATGATGCATTCCAGAATGCCAACCTGCCAAATACTGCCAAGCCCTTCAGCAAACTGTTTGCTGAAGGGCTTGGCAGTATGCAAACATTCGCCGGGTGCCACGAGTACTGTGCAGGTCCTCTAAGATGCGCTGCAGCTCAGCCTGTACTTCTCAAAACACAGAAGGCAGAACAATGACAAGTTTGGAAGCAAACGTATCGCTGCAGTTCCGACCAATACCCCGAAAGCCGAAGCACTTTCGAGACGTGAGGCGTATGGGGCTAATTAGGGTGCATGGCTCCGCGTCGTACCGGCAGGCTTGGAAATATGCAGCCTCACTCCACATGACAATGCTAGCACAGAGCTGCAAACGTCGCCTCGTAGCAGTCCTCGCCAGCTTCTCGTGCTGACTCTTCGAGAGCGCGACGCAGCATGGCCTCCAAACCCAACCGCACTGTCATGCTGTCTGGTTTATGTTGTCCCAAGGCCAGAATCAAAACACAACTTGTGCATGTTCTTGCGGATGTTTTTCTGCAGAAGACCAAGCCCAACTGCCCTAGCGCAGGCGGTGTGAAATAGGAACCCAAGGAGAACTGTCGCTCGAGGACATGCTCATGATGCAGGGAACGCCCACCGTCTCGTGACGCGGAAAGGCCCGAAACCACGGCTCGGAACAAGCTACCATGAAAACTCTGCAAGAAAGGCAAGCATGGGCGAATGGAATGTAGAAAATCGATGGCTGACACAGCATTGCCGCCGTAGTCCATGGCATCATCCACAAAGACCCATGTGCTCCGCCTCTGATTCAGCACCGCTCCAAGTGAACGTGCCACCGGCACTGCCAAGGGAGTTGGATTTGAAGCCGAAAGGCGGGAGGCCTCCAATCCAGATACCAGAGAGATGAGGTTGGGTGAGTTGGCCGCATGGACCGCAAAGCGGGACTCTGCATTGCCTAGTAGCCTTAAACACAAGCTGGGCTTACCCAGCCTGCACAATGCACGCAAAGCATCATTGCAAAACGTCTTCCTTGCAAAAAGGTCCAAGGCTACTTGCCAATCCACCAGTGGTGCTGTCTGGAGCTGGGCGGCATGTTCCCAATGCCGGGCACGATTACAAGCCCAAGCTGCTCCGTGCAAAATCCAGCTGTTCGCCTGCAAACTAGTGCTGCACATCAATGTGAGAATCGCTAAGACTTGCCGCCACAGCCGCACGCGGCCGCAAGCATTGACAGCAGCTCCAAAGGTTGCAGAGCTTGGTGTTAGCCTGTGCTGCTTTATCATAGGCAGCAGAGCCATTGCGATTTGCCACTGCCTGGCCTGACCACAAACACTCAGAGCTGCATTGATGGCCACAGTAGACAGCTCTACTTCGTGCCTGCTCATGTTGGCAAGGATGTGGATTGCACGCTGCCACTGGTTTGCGCGACCGCAAGCGCCAAGAACTGATGTGAAAAGAAAGATGTTCGGCAGCGGAGGCTGTCCCATCAAATGCACGGCCCTCTCCCACTCAGCATGGATCTCACATGCACTGGCAACAGCTGTGAAGCTTATAGCATCTGGCTGGAGCCTGTCAACCTGCATCCGTTTCAGGAGGCTAATCGATGCTCCTTCCACAGAGGCACATGCGGATATAGCAGTGTTAAATGACACTACATCCGCCAGTTTCTTGACTGTCATCCTTTCCAAAATGCAAATTGTCATCTGCCAGTTCTGTGAACGTCTGCAGCCATCCATCGCGGTGTTGTAGGCAGCAACTACCGCAGGCGCTTGTGCCACCACTCTCTCCAGTGCAGCCAGCGCTCGCGCCCAAGCCAAGGTTTTGCCCCTCTGCACCGCAAAGGGCCTTTTACGAAAATCCCCAACAACACCCTGAACAAGAAGTGGTCCGCTCCTGCAAAGCATCTCATGGCTCCAAAGTCTGGCAAGCTGCCGACTAACCTGAATCGGAAAGAGAGGGTCACTGACTCCAACAGTAGCAGGCCTGCGCTACTTACACTGGCTTGCTCCAGCGTGGATTGAAGTTGAAAGGACAAACGCCTGTTCGATTGTCGCGACATTAGTCTGCAGAGGTGATCGGTTTCTTGAGCGCTGCCCGGTTCTGCAATCCTAGGTTCTCGAGGAAACGGGGAACGCTTCCATGACATCCACGTTGCAGCACGCAGATGTCAACTCCATGCACAGTTGTGTTGCACACATTCGATGCAAATAAAGCTTGCACGCTTCTGACTTCAAGAGCATGGGCTGTTCGAGTCCTAGCTCGAGGCTCTAGCATGAGATTAATACCCTGACTTGCTACTGCTAGGCTGTTTTTTTACGGCCTACTCAATGCAAAGCCACACCGGTCGGTTCATCAAAGGCCTGCTCAGCCGTGTTGTGACAAATTATCATGTTTCTGCCTTTTCCGAAAGCCCAAGGAACAGCTGAGATCCTCTGCCCACCTCCCATTCCGGGGCCCTGTTAGTCTGCTTCCTTGAACACCGGTCTGAAACATCTTCCCATCTCTCTCCCATTTTTCCCAGCATGTTCTTCCGTGCTTTTTCGGCTGCAGCGGCGTGAGGCTGATTGCAGTCGAAGCCTGTGCATATGGCGATCGCGAGCGCCACCGCTTTCAGCCATAGATTGTTCTTGTCCGCAAGGGGCACTGCCACTGCAGAAGAGATTCTCCCAACGAATGATGTCGCCGGTGTCTCCTGAGTCCGCTTGTTTGGCCAGTGCTAGCCCTGCAGGCTCAGTTGCACTTCGAAAATGCCGGTGTTTGCTTGCGCCTAGCATCGCCTTCCGAAGAAAGCGGGTGACGTTGTATGTCTTGAAAGATGCGTTCGACGACTGTTGATTGGCTCTGCATGGATTGGCTTGGCCTGGGCCTTCAATTCCATAGCAGAGCATGTTATAAAATTTTTTCCTATCTTTTTCTGCAGCCTCAAACGCAGGAAACCGTCCCTTACCCTATCCTCCCTGTACTATGGAAGCAGCGTGGCTATGCAAGTCTGCTGTCGGCCCCCCGCCTGGATCTCAGGTCTTTCCATGCGAACTGACTTCTGTCTGCATTTGGATTTCGTAAATGTTTAGTTCTCGCTGAGCAGTGTTTAAAGTGAATAAAGCCCCAAGGAAGCAACAAAAGATGACAATGCACATCTCTCCTGGGTCCCATAGCCCACCATGTCACAACCTCATCCTTGACCTCCTCTCCCCTGCTGACCCATTCTGCCTTCCAGCCTGACGCATGCTTTGCTAGGCTATCGCTCACCTGCACTACAACAAGTTGCGCTTGTTAGTTTGTCTGACTATACTTATTTAAGGAAATCCAAATGCGGAGGAATTTCAAATGATGATTTCTTCCCTGGTGCATGAAGAATCTGTCGTACAGGGCAGCAAAGCTTTTGGGCCTCCTTTCCAGACCTCAGTCGTTAGCGCAGGAGTTGAGCATCCTTCCCCTGCTGTCCGTGCAAGAAATCCTGCACATGTGCCAGAATGCCTGCCCAAAGGGGCAAGAACCGTTACCGCATCTCACAGCTGTTCCTGTTTCTCTTTTCTGTTCTGTAGTTTCGCAACATGTGAAGGGATGCAAATGACTCGCCTCTTCATCAACATCGAAGTCGGTCAGAACCTCAACTCAACAGCTTTACCCCTGAGCATCCGCATGTTGAGCTTTTGTATTGATCAGCTATTTAATCAGGGTCCGTTCCCCAATAGGTACGCCCATTTGCACGCTGCTTTTGCCATACAGGTCTGGCTGTTCCGGAAGGTCTAAGGCAGCAGCAGCATAATCACAGCGGTGCCGTAATTCGAGGTGTGAAATGAAGTTTCGAGATACCTGTGATGAGAGCTCAAGAGAAGGCACACAACCAGCCACGAAAGTGATATGCTGGGTTCATCGCATAGCTTGGGTCTCCCCACGGCATGGCTGCGCAGATTGGGCACCTTTCAGGCGGTCTTCCACATGGTGACATAGTGCATGAGTTGCAGAAGCAAAGGTTCCGTGTAGCTGCACTCTCTGCCTGACTATCTCCATTCAGCACTTCGCTTGAACTGTCTTAAAGTTGCTTGTGGCCATTTTCTCTCTCGCCCCCTGCATCTCTCTCACACACACATACGCGTCCCGGACGAGGTTTGCACACTGCAGAGGTCGGTCCTCTCGGACCCTGATGCTTTGCCTTGCAGTGTTCCAACCTCACCACGACGCGTTCATCACTCGTAGCAGAAGCAGCTTTAGCTACGAGTGCCTTAGTTTCCCAAGCCATGACCTCCGGACATTCTGCCAATTTCTGAAGCCTCCAGCTTGATGGCCGCATGCATGGAAGGGCTAAGTGCCGGGCAGTGCCTGAGGGCTCAAGTTCACTTCTTCACCTCGCAAGCGTGCTGCGGACCGAACGACATGCCGCGGCATGTTTGTTGCCGCAGGTCTCACCATCTTGGGCGTCGGACACCAAGGGCACTTGAAGGTGGATCGATTTGGAGGAGGCGCACGAGGTGCGCGCAAAGGCCCATCGAGGCCTTCAAGTTGTTAGGGCCGCTAGGGCACGACAACGCTGCAGAGGCAATCGCCGCGAGTGAACACCTCAAGCTGCTGATTCGAGTTAGAAGCCTGGCCTGCCCATCCTACGTGTAAATCGCAATCTCATCTCGTCGCATCGGTGCATGTTGCCCACAAATCATTGCACCGAATAAAGCGGAGCCCAAGATTGCCGATTCTCGACCCGCATTTAAGCAGAACAAAACGTTGCAGTTGCAGGTGCTCCCGCACGCGTCCCGCTCCACCACGCTCATCCCCCCGCCTCCAGGGTTAGTCAGCACCACCCCACTCCAGAGGGGATGCCATTCGGGAGGGGAAGGGGGAGGCACAGTGAACATCGTATACGTTTACACATCGCCCAATCATCAGCCTTGTAGATGGCCTGATCTCAAGCAGCAGGAGTTACTGATGGCTTACAAGGCTTACACCGCTGCTGAATTCCTTCTCTGGCCCGCTCATCGCTCCGCTTGACGCGGCTGTAAGCAGGGCATTTCGTGCCATTTCCGGCCCCAAGAAGAGTTGCTCGATACAGCTGGTTTGCCACATTTCACAGATCACAAGATGATCACCTTAGCCAAGCTCTGCCGCAGTGACCGATTGCGGTAAACTGGTCTCGCCAGTGCTTGCCAGTGCTACTGGTGGCTTCGGCACCTCCACTATGTATAGCCTCGGCCATTGATGGCTATTGTGCCTGCTTTCCTTCCTGTGCCATTGTGCCACTGTCGCACTTCCCGATACACGATGCTCCTCACGCTGATCTGTGATCTCATGCAGAATCAGCGCATGTTGTTGGCGCTGCTTGCTGCAGCAATGCGTGACGTGGGCAGTCTTAGAACCTATAACAATCCAATCGGGCAGGAGCTGAATTTTCGAGCAGTCTCAGAACCGACCGCAGAAGACACAAGGCAGTAAAGGCCCTGACCTAAATTTCTGCTGCAGCTACATGTTGGTTTAGGTGCTGCTTTCGGCTTTTCCTTCGAGCCATCTCAAGAAGCGACTCCAGCAGCCACATAGAATCATAGAATCAACCAGAGCAGCTGTCGCACTGACAGTGGCCACCGCTGGTGACCTGACTTCATCTTACCTCAACAGTTGTGGCCTTCTTCGCGATCGTGCCGTGGACTCTTGCGAGGGGGTCCGCAGCAATGGCCTTATCTTTGCAGCTCTTGGCTGCCCTCTTCTGGAATTTCAACAGTGAAGGCATGCACACCTTGACATCTCGAATTTGAAGAGTGCATCTCGCATATTCTGGGCGCCCAGCTTTCTGCTTGTAGCAAAGGTATGTCCTCGCCACCTGCAGAAAAAAGAAAAGGAAGCGCAAAAGTGACTCCACCCCATGCTTACACCATTCACACAGAAAATGCCCCCATAAGTTGAAGATATGTGTTCGTTCACATTATGTGTTCGTATGCACATTGACATGGAGAACAAGGCGCATCCGAAGACTTTGCGGAGAGTGTGGCTTTCATGAAGTTTCATGCGAGAAGCAGCAGAGCAATGCGATGATAGAACTAACTTGCAATCATTCAATCAGAACATACGGTAGTCACCAATCAATCTCAAACCGCACAAAGCTTTGAGTAGTTAGGTCTGTCGTTGCTGCAGGCAACGAGTAACCAGGGACACGATGAATAGATTCCGCTGGCAAACTAGCCGAGGACCTCGGGTGCCATGAGCTTGCCTAGCAAGGCGATTGATCCGCCAGTGAACTGCAGCGATACGGTTTGCGCTGTTCTGGGTGAAGAAGTGGTGCCGTAAAGGTTAATTACGGTTTAGCTCTTAATCACGAAACAAGGCGCGTTCAAAGCAAAGATCGCAAGGATACCTCACAGCCTCGGGTTCAAGATTAACATCAAATGCAGCACTCGAAGTCTTGTGGCATCTGTCCTCTGCGATGGGACAGACGTCAATGTCAATTTTCCAGGTTTCCAACATATCATAGCTGGGAGCACAATGGACAGCGAGCCAAGATGTACAGTAGCAAACGTCCCGAAGGTTTGCGAAGTCCACTTCGGCGGTATGCCCAACCTTCCAAGAATTGACAACTTGAAAGCCTGACTGAGCAAATCGATGTAAAATGCGCTTGTGATCGGGACGCATGGGCATGCAGCACCCCAGGCTAGCAAGTCAACGAGAAGCAGGAAACTCCGCGGCTTGCCTTGAGCGGCGAGGCTCGAAAATCATTCGCATGATGCAGAAAAACATGCTTCAAGCGGTCAGAACCGGAAAGCTGCATGGAACTCGCAGACTTTCTGGTGCACAATGGCAGATGAAGCAAAGGTGCATGGCAGCAAAAAAGCAAACAGCAGAAACAATAAACAATTATTGACTGCAACAACTGAGTCCGCAACATGCTTGGCAGTGCAGCTTGCAGCGGGCGACCTGAAGCAAACGGCAAGTATTTTCTGCACCTGACTTACATCCAGTTGCCGGGCCTGAGCTGTGAAGTCCGCGTCAATGTCCTGACCCCGACTGTCCGACATACTGTGGCGCCACGCACGTGAAAATGTCCCCGCCTCGGCAACTAGATCTTTGCGGCAAACAGGGCCTTCGGCGCGGCAGGAAATGATGACATCTGTTTTTAGAGAAAGGCTGATGGCTTCGCTTCGGGAGGCTACTCCACGGACGTCCGCATTTCCAAGGCTGACCCTCTCCTATTCACATGACGATGTGTTCATTGACATGCGCGAGATCTAATCTAATGTTATTCAGTGTCATTGATAGTAACACTGGCAAAGATGTCAATCTACAATATGCTGTGGGCACCAACGGACCAATCTGAACTGTCAGTTCTAAGATGCTTTGAGTCGTTGCGGCAAAGCAGGCCTGCCATCCTAGAGAGAACACCTGCCATGCGGGGTTTGCCGTGTCTCTTTGACGCACTGGAATCCAGAATCGCCCCCACGACCAGCGAACAGAATAAGAGAGAATATATAAGAAATTTCATGCCACTTCGCGGCTCAGCATCTACTGGCGCAGCACGAGTTGCGATTGTGGGAGGTGGGCGTGACCCGTGTACTGGCAAGCTCGTGGCTTTGCATTTAGAGGAGAAAGCTTGGCTGCCCAAGTCACTTTGCACGGAAACCGGTCCACGCACTCTTACAGAATGAATGTCCATGCATGTCCGAGGTAATCAGTCCAGACACCGCAGCACATTCTTACAGAATAGCTTGGGGGTTTTGAATCGGAACCAAAGAGTCAAAGCGAAAAACGTACAGCGGTGGTACCCCTTGCATGGCGGTTGGGGAGACTTTGAAGCGCGGAGTTCGACGGCATTTCGGCATCTCTCAAACAAATTCTGCCTTCGTCGGAAGATGAAACGAAACGAACAGGCTCGAATGCTGGATCAGCTTTGGGTGACGAGAACGAACTATGTTATAAAGATGATATAGGCACGAAATGAGAATGAACACACGTCTAACAGTCTTTTTAATTGTGTATGTATGCGAAACGGTGGGTGCTTTCTGGTGGCGACTGGGTGCTTTATGGGTAAAGACGAGACGATTGGGCGCTTTCAAAGAGCATCGAATGGTAATTGCACAGACGTGTAGCTCTTGGATCAGCTTTGGGTATCATACTGATCAGTATAATTTTGGTAAGCTTCGGCTGTCGATAGCAGGGTCTTGGGTATGCTTGCTGAATAGTTTGACACACCTCAAAGAGACATGTCAAAGATCCTTGGGTGCAGTATATCTGGGATTGCGTCAGCCTTCAGATCGTGGAGTATTTGGAGAATATTCAGAATAGTCTGGTCTCATACCAGAATGTGATCAGATTTCATGTCGGGTATAATTCTTGGGGGTTCGCCCTTCACGACCGACACTTTGTCAGAATAGCCAGCCGAAAGACACGCATGGGGATTCCCGATCAACGGTTGTCATCTTCTCTCTCCTTCCTTGTTTTCGTCGTCTTGATGTCGTCGTACAGTTATTCAACTAAAACTCGTGGAGCCTGAAAGAGCTTAAATTTCTTGCAAGATGACAAGCTTTGCAGATACAATGCTTCAATAGGTTTCATTGTCAACATCCTTAATATTGGGTCTCACGGCTTATTGATTATATCTATAGAGATCTCGGCAGGTGAACCTGTTGCAGGTACAGAGCCATGCGCCCATAGCTCCTTAAACCCATTCCGCTAGCTTCGCTGGCTGGCAACACGGAATAGGCTGCCAGCCCCCTGCATTCTNNCCCCCCCCCCCCCCCCCCCCGCGGTAGCCGACGCCCGACCGCTAAGCAACAAATATAACTGCTCCGTTACTTGGGCGACGTATGGTTCCAACTTGCTTTGCTAGATAGCCGCCAATGTGGTGCCTTAGCGGCCTGAATTATATAATTAGTGCGGTCTCTTCATGTTCCTGTGGTCGCAGGCTCGCAGGTGCCTAACTTGTGCAAGGCGGGCATTGGCATTTATTACATTCCATCGCTTTCGGCCTTCAAGCAACTACACGGCGAAAGCCCGCTTGACGGCTGCATGTCCTTCACCCGTAAGGCGAGGGCAAGCAGTCAAGCAGCCTTGCCTGCATGGTAGCTGCGACTTGAGATTGCTTGTCGGTACCGAGTGTAATGCCTGTGCTACATGCTTCAGACATGCATCGCTTCCGTTCTCTCTTTAGCAACGGTTTGCGCCCTGCCTTTAGCACTGAAAGCAAATGACTGAGGCGCAGTCGGGCCTCGCACAGTTTTGACAAAGCCTGTGCGAACCTTGCAGTACAACAGATCATTTCAGCAACCACAAAGAAGATGCCCAGATTTCAGGACAGGCAGCAACCACTGCGTATCAAGGGCGCGAGCAGTCAGCTTTGAGAGCGACTTCCGGCACAGAGAGGCAAACCTTGAAGGTCTGAAAGCTGGCTGTGCTTTGGAAGCTCTGTGCAAATACCACCAAAAAGCTCTCTCTTCAACACTTTGAACCTCAATGAGCTCCCAGTTCATTCGGCGTTAAAAGAATAAGAAGAAGCCTCTCTGCAACCAAGCATCACAGCACGTGAACTCAGCAGGAATTTGCATGTTCTTCGCTGCAGTAAGCTCCTTAGAAGCCTTCCACGAAGACTTTGCAACGTGTGGGCGCAAGCTTCTGCATGTGATGCAATAATCGTGGTCGGTTCCAAGCAGGCTGGACTTCTGGACGGCTCGAGCCAAACGTCGTCACTCTTCACATCATGAGCACATTCAACCTCGAGTTGGGCAGCCACGGAGCGAGCTGGTTTGCTGGTTCTTACGATGGAATGGCAACTTTCGCGATTTTGCAACCGCGTCGAGTCCGGAGCCCTCGTGACGAAGCTGCTGCGGGGCAGTCGGGCATTTTCCTGGCCGCCCTATGCCGGGCCTTCACCGCGCCCGGAACCACATGCTCGAGACATCGACAGGGGCGAGGCACGACTACCATCGACTACCACCGCAGGAACGACTTCAGGCAAGTCTTCAGGCTCCCTGAGTGCTATCAAGATTTCTGCTGCAGAGGTGGGCCCAAAGCCTTGTGCGCAGAACTGCGGTGTGCAACATCGCCGGTTCCAAACAAACGAAGCTACGGCTGAGGAGCCTGAGGATCAAACCTGTGTAGATGCCAAACGTGGAGCCACACCGCTGCCTTCACGATACTTTGACAGCCTGCGACAAATACAAGGCGCGGCATGCCGCACGCAAGTAGAGCATCCAAAGCTCAGTGCCGAACTCGTTGTCCAAGTCTTCGAACTTCTGGTCCCGTCCAGAGCAATCATCCGTGACAAACACCTTATAGCATCTGGCAATGTCTCTACCGTGTGAACGACTTCGTCGCGTCACAGTTTGTTTGAACCGGACATTATGTTAATCATCGGTTCGCTTTGGGTATCTTTTGGTGCCACTTCGAGAGCAAGCGAAGTCATCCCAAACACGCAGGCACAGTGCTCGAGCCACGGATTGTTTCTGCGGCTCGAGCTGAAGGCCTTAGCGTGCCTGGGCTGTGCGAGCTGTGCGGCACTGCTTTGCGTTGGGAACCTTGCCCAGAGTGAAACTGCATAACGTTGCTTGCATTGTTCGTGCACGGGCAGTGGCCAGTTTTGTTCAATTGCGCTCAGTCCTTTCGCCTTGGAGTGAAACTGGCCTCTTTCAAAGCAGATCGTACCGGGCCTTCCGCAGGGATGCAAAGCCCTTGGGTCCAAACTTTTGTTTGGGGGTGCAAGCGTCCACGGGAACCTGTCGAGTACAGCCAACGGGTACCAAAGTCCTCGTAAAGCCTACCGAAACTACACCTACAGTACCAGGTAAGCGCAAGCCTTCATCTTCCAGTGCCACTGGCGGCAGGGGCGGTCGTCGAATCCTGAAACAACTTCAAAGCATTTTACTTGTTGGGATGCAGCTCTGATCCCACCAGCACAGTGGTACCCTAGAAGATCGTAGAAACATAAGGAGTCAATGCGGACGCGTGACGAAGACACGCCATGAAAGTCTTACTTCTCCTTTGGTGCTGGGACAGTTTCTTCGACCCAACTCTTTAAGTGGTACTTCATTGGCAAAACGATCGGAAAATTGTAATTACTTGCCCCTTGGGCCGTCCGGCTGCAAATCGTTCACCTTGCTGCGAAAGAAGACTTGATTGCGAAAGAAGGCTTCATCCGAGGTGAGCCGTCGTGCGTCTTCTTAAGTTCCCTAGTCGCGCTTGCAGCTACACTTAGTGTCTGAAAGGGCGTTCAGCTTTAGAGTGCCGGAGTGCCATGGCCGAAGGCACAGGGGTGTGAGCTGGAGTGTGCCCACTGCAGTCTTATTAAACTGACACATGCACAGCTTTGGCAACTCCTCGCGGATTCCTCTGATGTTCGCAGACGCACCTAGCAAGATTCAGTTTGAGCAGTCAGCTCTAAGCAATGCGGTTGAAAGGTGTCTAAAGGTCAGACGAACAGACGAGCACTGGAAACTGCTGGAAAGCTCGACATCCGAGCTGCCAGGAGCTCCCGCTCCTCGGTGAGGAGTGCGGCTCCACGTGCAGTGCTTCGGGCCTCGGAGCAGAACACAACAAAAGAAACCAAGCCTTTCTAGCGGTATTAAGATTCTTCATGTGTTCACCGTGGTTTCAGCTTTCTGCTGAGGCATGCTGAGGCCTAGTCATCAGCCACCTGCGGCACCCTCGGCGCCACCGTCTCGAAGCGTCCAATGGAGCTCAAAGAGGGTGAAGACTCCAAGCTCGGAGATCTTGGTGGGTGGACAGATCTTGGGACGTGGAATCTGGACCCTGCTCTGAGCACCTGGTTGACAAGCGGGGGGTGCGAACCTCATCCGCCTGGCCTCAAGACTCGCTGACAGGACATTGCAACATCCAGTGTCGTGGATCTGCAAACGTGCCAATGTTGGTGAGATTTGCCGAGTTGCGCTTTTTGAACCAAGTGGTCTCCTGCTCTGCCTTCTGTCGAGCAGAGCGAGCCCTCGCTCGCCGACCACTGTTCTCTCGTCTTTTCTGCTCCAGTTCCTCGGTGACACGATGATATCTCACGCTGCAGTACGAAGCCTGCACTGGACCGGCGGCGTTGGACATATTTAATTGCAAGAGAACCACAAGTTGAAGACATTGAGACTACAGCAACAGCACTGCTTAAGAAATCACTGGTTTAAGAAATTGAGCCCCTCGGACAGCCGCGCGACAAATTGTCATAGTCACAAAAAACCACCAAAATAAGAAATTGAGGGGCTCGATTTCTTATTTTTTTGGGGTGGGGTTCTAGTAGCCTGTCAGT